AACTTGACAACATAAACTCAACATTCCAAAACTCAAATCAGGTTCAATAAGGAACCTAATTTTCTCAGTATTAATGAGGATACCACCATCATCCCCAGTTACCCTGACTTACATCTCACTCTCACTCCCCACCCCTGCCAATATCTAATCTGTTGCCAAGTCCTGTCCGTACTACCTTTATGATCTCTCTGGTATATGCCCCCTTGTCTCCTAACACTACCACCACCCCAGCACAACTGGCCCTCATCACATCACACCAGGACTACTCTAATATTGCCTCCTGGTTTAGTTTCCCTTCCTCAAGTCTCTCCCCACTCCAGTCTGTCCTCCACTCTGCTGTCAGTGACCTTCCTAAAGCACGTCTGACTATGCCAATAAACTTCCAGCAAGAAAAATAGTATTTGACTTTTAAGCTCCTTCAAAACCTGCTCTACTATATGCCATATTCTCTATCCAATATGATTATCTCCTATTATTATATATGCACACGCATATTTCTATCTGCATCTTGTTTGTATGTTGTCTCCTCCACTAGATTATAAATTCTTTGAGAGCAGGAACTGCATTATTTGGGGGAGTTTTTTTGCCTTTCTTTGTACTCCTATTCCTTACCACAGTTCTTGGCACACTGTAGTCTTTGCTTAAAAAATGCTTTGTCATTATGATCACACAGTATTCAGTTTCCATTTTAATTAACATTGGATTGGCTACCATCATCTGACTGCTGTGACTATCTCTGCTGTCACCACCTAACAACTGACTGGGGAAGGGAGTGTGAATAATTCTCCAACTGAAGTATGGAGCTCTTTTCAACTGCTCCCATGGCTTCTCTTCAATTGCCTTGCCCAGCAAACTCAAGTGGGACAAAACTACTTTAGTACAGATATGTGTAAGGATTAGCCAAACCATGAACAACTTAGGGGCTCACAGTACAACGGGAACCCTTTTTGTTTCCTTCTATGGACCTCTCCTCAAGACAAAAGGCTCTTTTTTTTCACCAGTTTACCAAGTAGGGCAATTTCTAGCTCAATCTTTCTTGCCTAACAAACTGAGAAGTTTATTGTCATCTTTATCTTACACCCCTTACATCCTATTTCCTACACAGTCTAAATTAGTGTGATAACATCATCACAGGATACTGGCATACTTGCAACTCCAGCCATGCAAATAATCTGTCCTCACGACCACATGTATCATCTCCCATATGTCCCTAGATGTGTTCATTACATGCCTGTTTCCTATTTGTGTATTCTGTATCCAACAGAATGTAATACAATGGGAGGGCATTTCCCTTGTGTGCATTGCAGATGTTTTCTTGTGGCTTTTAGTCTTTTGCTTTAGACTCTTGTCACTAAAAACAAATATATCAATGAGTACTATCTGTTAGAGTTAGAAGGGCTTATGTTTCCACAGGTAGAATAATGCAGAGATTTAAAGAACAGCTCCAGGAAGTAGTACACTGTACGTGGGTTCGGGCTTAGCCAATAAAAAGTAAGAGGATTGTTCCCAAAAGACCCCAAAATCAAGATAAGGGTCGAGCCAGCTCAGATCAGGTAGGGTCAACCTGAGGACACCTGAAAAATGTTAGTGCACCTGCTTAATGAACTTCATTACTATTATCTGCCACACCCCACATAAAATTAGAGCCTCATTAACGAGTCATGGGATCTATGACCAAGGGAGGGGGAACATACTTGAGCATATCAAGGGGAAACATGTAAGGAAAGGTGTAACCTGGGAAGGGATGGACCAATCCAGGCCTCGGAGGTTTCGTGCCGAATTCAACTGCATAAAAGCACACTTGCCCTTGCACTCAGGGCCCACCCCTCCTGAAGAGTGGTGGAGCCCGCTTCTGGCCAGAAATGTCTAAATCCTCTGGACTTTCTTTGTAATAAATTTTTGGTGTCAAGCCTATTTCTAACATCCCAGACCAGAGTTACACCTTAGTGCTATATTGAATTGAAACTAACTAGGCAGACTGGCTTTTTCTTTGGAGCATTAAGGACTAGTCTTATAAACTGGTTTTGTATTCCCTACATCACCTAGCATGGTACATTGAACATTGTAGACATTTAATTAAAGATATGATTTTACACTTTTTGATTTGATGCAACACACTGAGTACTCTCAGACTGAGATCTGTGGAGCTGGCTCCCATCAGCTTTGTCCTTTCCATTTAAGTGCCATGCTGAGAGACTGGGGTGGGGGTGGGGAGAAGATCGGGGAGAGAAAGCTGAGGAAGGGTCAACTTGTCCCCTACTTTCTTCATCCTCTGCTTTGCAGCTTCAGCTTTGCCTGGTTGTCTAGACCCTTTGTCCTCCCCTCCTCCTCTCCTATAAAGTTTAGATTCCTGAGATCAGAAGCTGAGAAGAGATGATAAAGATGATATGGGACTTGGGCCCTGAATAGGCTCTCCATCCTCCTTCCTCCACCTTCAAGCCCTTCAGTTCAGAAAACCAACATCAAAATTTGCTTCACAGCTTTAATTTTGTCTAGCTTTTCCCCAAGAACTCCAGTTAGAAGTAGTTCAGTCTGGTGCCTGGCACAGGTACTCCTGGGGAGGCCTCAACTCCTCATGCTAGGAAACTGGGCAGGGAGTCAAGTTGGGGGGTTTGTGCTTAATCAGCATAGCCCATAAGGTCACCTCAAGATCATGATTTTAGCTCAGATTCCATCTTGAATAAATACATAGTTATTTTGTGATAAGTAATACATAGATTATAGTTAAGCCTCACAATCTCCAGGGGATGGGGGTGAACTAGAGGTAGGAGACCCTGGGGGAAGGAGGGTGGTACAATTTTGAAACCTGGTCTCCAGTTAAGCGCACAAATGCTTTATTCCAATTCTGACTCAGAAGCAGGATGTTTCTTGGCCCCAAGAAGAGATGGGAAACTAAGGGAAGTCACTGAGATAAGACCCAGAGAAGGGGCTTGTAGAGCTGCAGAGTGTGGGATTCTAAGGAAGGAAGGGGAAGCCATCTCTTGGACACAGGAAGATTAGGCCCTAGACTTCCCTAATGGGAAATGGGAAAAAGTATAGTGGGGGTGGGGGTGGAGGTGATGGGGGTGGGGCCCAAGCCAAGATCTTTGCCCTTTGCCGCAAAAGGAATCTGACTCACAGGCCCCAGACCCTCAGCTCCCTCTGAAAGCCTTACCCTTACCTTTTAATCTTATTCAGATGCGCCCTAAAAGAATCTGGCTCCCTTTTGTCTATAGGCCCCAGAAAGGCCTTAGCTCTGGTCTCAGACTGTTCCTTATTGACTCCCCTTATCTCCTTTTGAAAGTCCTAGCCCCACCCTTTGATTTTGTGCAGATGCCTTTCAAACTTCTGCCTTCCAGTTCCCTCCATTAGCTATTCCCATTGTCTATTCAATCTCTCAGGCCTCCCCAATTAGAATTCTTATCTAGACCCTTTTCCCAACCCCTTCTCTAGCCACCCAAAATTACTTTAGTATTTAAGATACACCTTGGCCCTCATTCAGATGCTGAGAATCTCAGGCCTACAAGGCTGAGAACCTCTCATGCCCGCTATACGGGCGTCACTTGGTCACTGTGATTTACCACTAATAAACTTTTCCTCTGTCTGAAGAAGATGAGTTGAATTCATTCAGCAGGTCCCGGTACTGCAATCTTGGGGTGCCAGCACCCCAAAAGCCCTAGACCTCTTCAGAGGTCTCAACTCGAACATCCTAAACAGAGAAGGAAAAAGATTTAAACATCTAGAAGCAATATGTAGAAGTTGCAGAAAGGCAAATTTTAGCTTCGTATAAGGAAAAAATTCCTAATAATCTGAGAGTCTAGGATTTTTGAGTGAAGTTAAGTGAATAAAGTACTGGACTTGTAGCCAAGAAGACTTGGTTCAAATAACAAGTCTGACACTAGCTATGTAATCCTGGACAAGTCATTTAATCCCTTTGAGCCTTAGTTTCTTCATCTGTACAATGAGGGAGATGGAATTCGATGCTATAACATAGTTCCACCCCCTCTCATATAGTAGAGGAGGAAACAGATGGAGTTTGACCCTAGTGACCTAGCTCCAACTCCCACAGTAGTACAAAATCAGAATTACAAGATAATCGTTGATTTAAAGCTGCAAGGGGGTCCTAGAAACTTACCCATGAAAAAACCTCAATCCTAGAGTCACTTACACAATATAAAAAGGACTGGAATCATCCTGGCACGATCACAGATTTGGAGCTATAACACTTGAGTTCACCCAAGTGGCACACCCAGGTCTGCAGCAGACTCAATAATTCACTAATTCAACCCAGGTCTCCTTTGACTCCAAATTCAGTCCAGTTGACTGCATCCAAGCTGGAAAAGAATCCTTTGACTTGTAGGATTCTTTCCTTTCAGCTGTGGGTGGGACTGGATGACCTTGGAAGTCTTTGTTTCAACTTTTGAATTCTGGGTGTTCCTGTGTCCAAGGAGTCCAGACCTGCGGCCCAGATCTGCACGGTCCCACCCTCACACAACCAACCCTACCCCACGTAGCGTTCCCAGGAAAAGAGCTGGGGGGGGCATTAATTAGGTTATTCAAGCAATCCCAGACTAGAGGTCTCGGGTTCCAAGAACAAGGAAGAGGTGTGTATGTTTGGAGTGCTGGGGAGGGACAGGCACCTGGTCCCATTGTTTCCCTAATCTCACAGCTTGCCCCCGGAGATTAACTGATAAAAATTAGATACTATTCCCACTCCAGAGAAAAGGACTGGGGGAGGGAGCACCGGTGTCCAGTCCTTCTGAACCAGACAGACTACCCAGCCCGGGACTGCGTCCTTTCTTCCTACCCCATTCCTACTTTTTTATCTCAGTGGTAGCCTCTTTAAGAAGGGACCTGGGCAGGGCCCTGAGTGGCTAGCCCAGGGAGCCTGCCGTATACGTCACAAAACCAGAGACCCCGTTCATCTCTCCCATTGGTCGCTGGGCAAGATATTTGACCCCACCGCCTCCTCCATCTTTTAGGCAGTTTAGTTTAGCCCGGCAGAACAGGGAGGGGGAACTCCCCAAGGAGGCACAGGCGCCCATTGGGTGGCGCGGTCGGGGGCGGGGCCAGACCTTAAAGGGCCCCGGAACCAAAGAAGAACGAAGAACCAGGTAAGAAAAGAACTGAGACATCCCGGAGGATGGAACACGTGCCCACTCCCCCATCCCCGCCCCGCCTTCCTAACCGAGGACGCTGGCGGGGGAAGGGGCGGGAAATGCATCACTCCCCCTCACACCTTTTCCTTTCCCTCACCGCCCCCTTACAGACCCGTCTATGGAGCCCAAACGAAACCATCCGCTGTTCGGGGGAGCCTTCTCCATCACCCTTCCCCCAGGGGCTCTGGACGTGAGGTCAGGGGTCACTGCTGGGTAGGGTGGGCACGGGAGCCTGAGGCGGGATACGGTGCTCAGACTCTGCCTCTGCCCCGCAGTGATTTCCGGCCGGTACCGGACAACCAGGAAGTTTTCTGCCACCGCGGGACGGGGCAGAGTCTCATCGTGGAACTCCTGGAGCTGCAGGCACACGTGCAAGGAGAAGCGGCAGCGCGGTGAGCACCTCCGCCAAGGGCGGGGGCGGGGCACCTCCCTGGCCAATGGGAAGGAGCTACGAGTCCCAGTTGGAGGAGGACGCGTGGCCAAAGGTCATCCTCTGTAGAGAGGGTGTGTCTGAATCTGCTTCGCCCTCCCCATCTAGGTACCACTTCGAGGCTCTGGGAGGGGTGCAAGGGTCCGGGGGCGAGCAAGTAGAGGCTGTGCAGCCCCTTTCCTCCCACACTCTGTCCCTTCGGGGCTGCCGGGATGCCTGGGTCCTCTGCGGTCGGCAGCGTATGGCCAAGGAAAATGAGGCGGTGAGGGCATTGGGGCTTTGGGGAGTGAGAGTAGCCTGCGGGAGGAGAGAGGTGTCGAAATACTGGGCGGAGAGGACGGTGCGGGAAGCTGGGGGCTGGAGGTGGTGGTGGTGGAAGGAATAGCGGGAGTGGAGTTCAGAGGACAGGGCTTCGAAGCCCTCCTGGACAACAGACTAGCTGGGCGAAGCCAGGGAAGCTGCAGTTTCCATGTGCAAAAGGAGCGATGATCTTCGGCGTTCCCAGCAGCTCTGTCTTTGTGTAGTTGCACAATAATCTGAGCTGATTCTGCTGCCCTCAGAATGAAAAGGATGTGATCTTACACCTGGCCCTGTTCCGATTGCCCCAATATGGGACCGACCTTCTGCTGACCTTCAACGAACCTATGTAAATGCGGTGGGGGTGGAGTGTTTGGGCTGGATGATTGGGTCCCTGAAGGGGGGGGGTTGGGGAGCTTGGGAGAACTGGAAGAATTTATGCTGGAGAAGCTGAAAGGAGATGGAGTGTGGGAGTGGCAGACAAAAATGCCTGTTTCCTGTGGAGGAAGAAATCCGAGCCCTGTGTAATCATTTTACTGTCTTCCCCAGATCTGGGAGTAGGCCAGCCCATGGACATGAAGCCCAGTGCCTCCCACCCTGGACCCTGGTTGACTTTGAAAGGCTAGTGACTTCCCTGACTCTTCTTGACCCCAGTATCTTTGGTCCCCGGGAAAGATCCTGAACTGCCCTCTGCTGCTGGTGTCTGAATGTCTGGATTCCCTAAAAGAAGCAAGGGATTGATGGTTGGGGTTTCCCCCATATCTCTGTTCCACATACAGACATAAGGCACCACCTTTGCAGAAATAAACTTGCTTTATACCAATACAATCTCTGTGGCTTTGGTGGGAGAGGGAAAAAGCATTTATACAATTTGAATCTAGAGGCAGGGATGAAAAACAGTCCCTCCAATTCCCTTTGGTTTTGGGGAATGAGGTTTAAAGCTGTGCGTGGGAACTGGAAGCTAGCAGTCTTGGCAAGAAGAAAATATCTCTTTGATTCAACCCTGAGAGTAAGGGTGAGAGGTTTTAAGCTGTGTGTGATGGCAGGAGTGATGTTTGGATGGGAGGGAGTGCCCCACATAGTGATTCAACCCTGAGAAAAAGGGTGTGGGGGGTCATGGTGAGTAAGTGATTATCAATCATTAAGATCTAAAGGAAGGGTCCAGGAAATTTCAGATCAAGGGTGAGGACAGTCCTTCTCATATGGAGTGTGTTGAGGGAAAATTTGGAGTTGGGGAGGGGTCACTGATTGTGTTTCTGGTAAAGAAATCGAAGCTGGTCCCAGAAGAAGAGTGAGAGAATGGTATGGGGGCCAAGTCGGAAGTAGGAAGCACCCATGCCTTTATACATGCCCCAAATGCCTTCAGTCCGAATTGTTTGCATCACTGCATCTGGTAGTCCCCGGTACATCAGACCCTAGGTGGGGTGGACATGGAAAAGGGGGGGTACATTATGGACTTCTCCCATCCCACCCTCACCCTCCCTGTGACCATCCCCCCACCACTTTGCCCACCTCCTTAACTACTCCCCACCCCCATCAGACTCTTACTTGTATGATACTGTAATTCTGCTTCCCCCACCTTGAACCCCCTCACCTTGCCACGAGCATCTGTGGGTTGGTTGTAGAGCCTGGTACTGACTACGTCGAAAGGTGTCATGGTGAAGACAACAGCTAAGCTACTCACCATAGCTGAGACCAGAGCCAGCTTCCAGCTCTGTGGTGGAAATACCTGAAGCAATGGGAGGCGAGGGTGGGGAGAATAGACAAAAATCTGTATACAAGAGAACCCAGTCCCTCCCTTTTCCCTGAGGCCTTGTAGTTTGGGAGACAGTATCTCCCAGTTGCCAGGGATAAATTGGTGATGTCTCTCTGCAGTTAAGGGTGAATTGGTGGTCCCCCCCTCCTCCCAATCCCAAATGACCCTGCCCATTCCCCACCAAGTGGTACCTCCCACTGGGTCACAAGATCTTTGATAGATGAGAAGGTGCAGAGCTGAGTGGAGGAGCCGACCATAACTCGAGGGAGTGCTCCCAATGCCCCTCTCCATAAACCCCCCAGGCCCTGCTTTCTTCCAATCACAGAGAGTGCGTGATACATGCCCTGGTGGGGGAAGGGGGAGTGGGGCTCAGTTAAAAAAACAACTTCCAAGGCCCACTAACACATTTCTGCCTTTAGGGTTTACAAGGACCCTTTAACACAAGTGACCATGGGCTCTTTAAGTTCATCCCTTCCACTTTTCTGAGAGGTTAGCTGCCAGGACAACAAGCCCCATGGAGACCCAGAGCCAGAACTGAGGCTCTTCAGTTTTCATGGTGACTGTTTTCCCTCCCCTAACCCCTCATCTCTCAAGGTAGAAGAAGGACTGGGGGACTCAGGAAGAGAGAGAACATGGGATGTGTGTGTGTAAAACATGTCAATGGAAAGCAAGATGAATTGGTCATGTAATGAGGAGGAGACTCAGTGGCTGGACTTAATAAGGAAGGATCAGGAGCTGATTTTGGAGTGTTGTGAAGGGAGAGGCAATCAGAGCTGGAGGTGTCACAAAGGGAAAGCAGAAAGTCCTTGACTGAGATTGGGCAGGGACAGTGGAGATGTGTGGGCACTGAATCCCTCACCTGATGCTTATATTGATGCCCAACTGCAATCTCAGAGGCTGATTGTGCCTGCAGATGTGTCTTCACCTGGGAGAAAGGGGGTGGTGTCACTTGCCCAAGGCCCAGGCACCCTTCCCCCTACCTTCTTCAGGAACCCAGGTGCTTACTTAGCCCCTAGTCTCTCCTATGAGAGTAGCTAAGAAAGCAAATCCTTTAATCTGATAATTATTGTTATTTCTACAAAATAAATTGGGCATGGGACTCTGTGTTCCTTGGCTTCAGTCCCAGAAGATCTCCTAACATTAACTACACCCACCTGGTCCCTTTGGAGTGGCGAATATAATCACTACTACCTATGTTTACTAAGGTCCAGGGAAGACATCAAGCTAAGTGAAACCTTAGCTCCTGATGGCCTTAGGGACTTAGAGGTCCAGCTTCTCTAGCAGACTGTGGGGCAAGTTTGTAGGCTCCTTGTGGTAATGTTTATAGTTTGCCCCCTGGATGCTATGCTCAGCATTGTAGAGATGTCCTCACAAACCCAGGAGTCAAATGCAAATTTCCTTTTTCCAAAGAAAGCCTTTACTGAACTGAGAATCGGAAGATTTATGTCTATAGAAGATCCTTAAGGGTGGAGAACTTTGGCCTCAAGGCTACATGTGTTTCTCTAGGTCCTCAAGTTTGGCCCTTTGACTAAATCCAAACTTTACAGAACAAATCCCCTTAGTAAAAGGATTTGTTCTGTAAAACTTGGGACTCAGTCAAAAGGCCACATTCAAGGACTTAGAAGGCCACAAGTGGCCTGGAGGCTGCAGGTTCCCCATCCCTGTAAGTTCCTTAACCTAAACTATCTTTTGATCACTTTCATCTTTGATCACTTTGATCTTCCCAGACCTTACAAAGCCTCCCAAGGTCTTTTTGTACACTCTCAACCTAGTAGAAAGGACCTCCCTCAGCTGGTCAATTCTTACCATGTAGATGGGGCTCCCTATGTAGGCACCCATAACTCCAGCAAGGGCTCCGGCAGCAGCACTACGGCCAGGGCTGTGGTTCCCATTGGAGTCAAGGAGATAACCCCCAGCTTCAGCCAGCCCATAAGTCCCCAGCCTTATGCCATTCATTAAGAACTGGTATACTAAGGCAGGGGCCAGGCCCTTCTGCAGGGCAGCCAACCCATCCACTTGCCCAATGGTGAAGAAGGCATGGAAGACATTTCGGTAGTGTCGCTGGTAAGAGCCTCGTGCCTGGAGCTCGCCCTGCAATTGCATTCGGGTTTTCACCACCTCCAAAGGGTTGGTGAACACACAGGCTCCACAGGCTGCCAGGCCACTCAGCAGGAAGTCCATGGCTCCTGGCAGGCTGTAGGAGCTGGACCAGAAGTCAAGAAGTCGACAAAGGGATAGATGCTAGGTTGAGGGAAGAGTTGGGGGGTTGTGGGGATGGGGCGTGTGGAGGAAGGAGGGAGGGTGGAAGTCAGGAAAGGCTCAAGTTCAAGAGGAACGGAAGGAAAGGAGTGTTGAGGGTTAGAAGTCAAGGGGTCAGGAAGTTCTGGAGTTTGGAGATCAGGACACGATGGCACGAGGGTTAAACACAGGGAGACAGAAGTATCAAGACTTTGGGGTACAGGAAGCTTAAAGGGAATAGTCACTAAGGTTGAAATAGCATGCAGAAATTGAGAAGGGAGGGGTGGAGAAGAGACCTATCTGTATGAAAGGTCCTTGCTGGTCTAGGGCTCAAAGGAAGGGAGGACACAGAGGCTCCAAAGCCAGAGAGGTGAGTGAATGACAGGCGGAGACAGCCAGGGGAGACAGGGACGCTCTGCAGACCGGAGGGATCACAGAGGAAAGGGGACCGGACGGAGATCTCAGCAATTGGCCCGGGGCGCGGCGAAGATGGACCCGCTTGCACATCGGGTGGAACTCCCAGGATCCGGAACCGAGTCTCCAGGCTCGCGTCCCAAACCAGGGGCTGCTGGCGGTTGCAGCTCGGCCCAATAAGGGAGCCCAGGGGAGGCCTGGAGCTGCCACTCCGAGCCAAGCGGCGAGCCTCTCTGCGAGCCCCAGGCCAATCAGCGCCGTGCCGGCTCCGGGACCAATGGGAAATGCCGGCCAGGGCCCAGCCTCCAATAACCTGGGCGGGAGTGGGGCGGGGAAATACAGCGAGGTTAACTCTCCCTGCGCCGCGGCCCCGGCGTTCGGGTCGTGGGGGAGGGGCCGACAGGCTTCGCCTTATTAATCTACGGGCCGAAGCCGAACCCGGCTTCTTTCCTGGGAAGGTTTGGGGCATGCCAAGCTCCCCGGCGACGCCGGCCTGCTAGACTGCCCTATCACCAGAGGCACGCAGTTGCTAAGGTCCCTGGAAGAGGAAGAAGAAGGGACAGGCGTTTTGCATGCGCAAGTTCCGAGGAGAATTTGGAGCGCAGTAGCTTGGAGCGCAGTAGCTTGGGCTGCGCTCGCTCTCTCTCTCTCTCTCTCTCTCTCTCTCTCTCTCTCCAGCTGGCTCAATCCAGGATCCTGGTTACGTAACCGTCCACACTGTTACCTTGAAGGAAGAAGTGCAGTTTTAGGAAAGAAGAGATTCATTTATTTTTGCATACATGCATGCATTTACTCGTTCATTTATGCATTTACTCACGCATTCATTTATTAATTCATTCACGCTTTATATTCATTCATGCTTTCATCCATTATTGTGTCGGCTATGTGCTAAACCATGCTAGCTAGGTGGCGTAGCTGGTCCTGGAGTCCACAAGACGTCCAAGGCTAGCATCACACACTCCCTAGCTGTGTGATCTTGGGCGACTCAGTCTATTAAAGGCCTACTATGTGCCAACCACTGTAGTAAGCGCTAGGGAAACAATTACCTATCCCCAAAGGAAGGCAATACATTAGCAAACTAAAAAGGGGTGTGTGTGGTGGAGTGAGAAATTAGTCAAAGAACTTCCAAATAGTGCAGCCAGGTGAAGAGATGAATTGAGCTCTCTTTAAATGGAGGTTTGGAGTTCATGACCCAGCTCTCCAATCAGAGGGGCATACCTATAAGTGATGAGATGGAGAACCAAGGCTCTATCTGGATGATGTTATCTCAATAATGAGCTCCTTAGGTCCAAGTGGAGAAGTCAATCATAGAAATTCCAAAGTAGTTAATCCCAGGAGAAATGAGTCACTTAACTCCTTTCTGCCTCAGCTTCCTCTTCTGTAAAATAGGGGAAATAATAGCACTTACCTCATGAGGTTGTTTAGAGCCCTTCCTAAACACAGTGCTGGGAGCTGGGGAGACAAAGACGAAAACAATAGAGTCCCTGTTTCCAAAGGGCTGAAATTCTACTGAGGGGATAAGACCATGTACACAAATATGGAAATGTAAATTTTGTGGATGAGAGAAGAGAAGGCTAATAACTCAGGAAAGACTCCCAGTAGGAGACAGCACCTAAGCTGGGATGCACCTTGAAGGTAAGTTAGGGATTCCAACAGGCAGAGGTGTTTCAGAACTGAGACAATCAGTACAAAAGAATGTGGTGTATAGGTATCAAGGCAGATGTGGAGACAAGGCAGGCTGAGCTGCTGTCGGTCGCGCAGTAAGCAGGTGGACTTATAAAATTTGCTGTCCCTGCCTTCTGGAATGTAGTGTTTCTCCAGAAATTCCCCTCCAGCACTGTGGTTTTCACTTTCTTAAGTAAATTACTCCCCCAAAAGAAAGTCGAAAATAAAAATGCTCCTAGCTTTGCTGCTTGCTGTCCTCACCATTTCAGAAGTATAATTAATGTGTACAGCTTATCAGTCAATAGTCAGTACCACTCCACTTAGTCTAGATGTTATAAATTATCTCAGACTAAATCAATAAGCCAGTGTCCACTTTAAGCTATCAGCTTCCACTGATAAAATTTTTCGTATCCCTAGGATAAGGAGCATTCTTGCTTCGTCCCTTCACAAATGCATGAGCACTAAATAGAATACACACAGCTTATCATTTTGTTGATCAACAACTTGTCTTTTCCCTTTTAAAAGTAAGGTGAATGCTTTCCAATTCCAGAAGGAAAGAGAGAAAATTAACATGAAGGAATGACTAGCATGATGGACACATTTGATCCTCTCCAGAGATGGAAAGGGCATTTTTTAAAATTAAATTTTATTTTTCAAGTGAAGATCTCTTTCTTTTACCTTCCCCACCCTCCCAACCTAGTGAGAAAGCGAGAAAAACAAAACCTCTGTTATGAACATGTATATTCAAGTACAATAAATCCTAGGATTGGCCATCCCCTCCCCCCCTTCTCGATCTGCACTCGGAGTCAATCACCTTTCTATGAGGAAGAGAGTAGTATGTTTCATCATGAGTCCTCTGGGATCATGGCTGGTCATTATGTTGATCAGAATTCCTAAGTCTTTCTGAATGTTTACAATATTTCAACCAATATTTATTAAGCACAAACTATTTGTCAGGCACTGTGCTAAGTGCTGGAGATAACAAAGAAAAACAAATACAGTCCCTGCCCTTGAGGTTATAATCTAAGATATAAAAGAGACGACATGCAAACAACTATATTTCAAACAAGATGTATACAGGATTGGAAACACACAGAGGGAAGGCACCAGAATTAAGGGAGGTTGGGAAAGGTTTCTTATAAGAAGGAAGAATTTTAGGTGGTAGTTGAAGGGGGTTGGGAGGCAGAGATGAAGAGGGAATGAATTCCAGGCATGGGCTTAGCACAGGAGTCTAGAGATGCAATATCTCATCTGACTGAACAGCAGGGAGGCCAATGTTGGACTTCAAGTAGGAGAAAGATTTATTAAAGATGGCTGGAAAGGTAGGAAGGGGTCGAGTTATGAAGAGCTTTGAACACCAAACAGATATTTGATCCCAGAGGTAATAGAAGAGTCACTTGTCTTCAGCCCAAGCTAGCAAAGTAGCGAGAAATTTGTCCAGAATGCAGCTCATGTTTGAATTGTCCTCACTTCCCAGATGGTTGTTTTATCCTCTTTTCTATTTGTTTCTCTGTGTTTACTTTCTTATTTCCTTAGAAGCCCCTTCCCAAGGTTAGGCTTATGACCCTGAGCAAGACTTAACTTTCCTTAGCCTCAGTTTTTGTTTTTTTCCCCCCAGCAAAATGTCAGCTAATTGGATAAGGGGTTTGTGTGAGAGAGAAGAGTCAAGGAAAATGGTGAAGTTTAATAAAACAGGGTTACTAAACTGGCAGATCAGGGGAATGTTGCAGATAGAGTTTACGGTCCCCCTACCCAGTTCCTTAAACATTTTTTTTAAATACGTTTTATTGATACCTTTTGCTATAATCATTTTCCACCCACTCACTCCAGATCCAGTCTTTCTTGTAACAAGGGAAAACAATTAATTACATGATCCAGTACAGAGACCAAGCCTGACAATGTATATGTGGCTCACCCTTCGGAGCACCACCAACAGGGCTGGACTGGATGGAGGGGAGATGGGCGCAGTCTTCATCAGGTACGGAGTCTTCCCATTGCTCTCCCAGCATCTGGAGATTTCAAACTCCACCCGAGGGCAAACTACGCAGAGGTCCTGGGACCTGAACCTTGGCATAGTGCCTGTCTTGAGAAGGACTTGTGGAAGGAGATGGAAGCCAAGATAAACAAACACCAAGACTGGCAATAACTTACGAGAATTTTGTAAAATGATGTTTGGTTGTTAAAATGATATAACTAAGTATAGTTATTTAGGGGATGAGTGTAACCTCCAGGCCCACCAGCTATGGCAGGAAGAATGTTAATTTTGGATCATTTAAGGACTGTGCCACATGGGCTTTTTTACATTTTTATTTAGAACACTCAAAAAAGAGCGTTTTTATTCACACGGGAAGCAAAAATAGTATTTTATATGAAACTGTGAATCTCCATTTCACATCGCTTGCTTTTTAAAAAAAGTATATGATTAATACTACACATTACTTTCAAAACTGCTCTTCTGTGCTTCCTTCTGAACTTCCTTCGTTTTCAATGTTTTCAAATGTTTTTCTGTTTTCAAATTCAATGACTCTCTTTTCTTTGGCATCACTATTGCTAATATCTTTTCGTTTCTGACTCCTTTCTCTTCTCCCACCTCCACCCTAAAAAAGGGGGGGGAGGAACGTCTTGTAACAAATAAACATTGTCAAGCCAAATGCATTCACATAGTGTCCATGTCCAAAAATGTATATCTCTACTTTGTGTCCATCAGTTCTCTGTCAGGAAATGATAACATGTTTCATCCATGGGTCCTCTGGAGAAGTGGTTGGTCTCCATTAATCAGAGTTCTTCAGTCTTTTAAAATTGTTTTACTTTACAGTATTGTTGACTTTGTATACATTGTTCTCCTAGTTCTGATCACTTCACTCTGCATCAGTTCATACTACTTAGGATTCTTTGAAATCATCTTTTTTGTCATTTCATTATATTCATATGTGACAATTTGTTCTAACATTCCCCAGTTGTTTAAGAGGCAATCCAAGGCACCCACTTAACTTTTAGTTATTTTCTTATCCTCCCTCCCCTTTGAAATCCCTTTTTAGATTCAGAAGTTTGTTATTATTCCCTTCATTGTATTTTACTCTCTATTAACTTACTTGTTTCACTGTTAAATTTGATGTATTGCTTAATTTTTAAAAAAGTAATATTTTATTTTCCCTCCAATTACATGTAAAAACAAATTTTAACAATCGTTTTTTAAATTTTTGAGTTCCAAATTCTTTCTGTCCCTCTCTCCCCACATTGAGAAGACAAGCAATTTGACATAGGTTATACATGTGCAGTCATTGGAAACATATTTCCCTATTAGTCATGTTGTGAAAGGAAACACAGACAAAAAGAAAACCCAAGAAAAGTAAAGAAAAAGTATGCTTCGATCTGCATTCAGACTTTCAGACTCCATCAATTTTTTCTCTGGAAATGGATAGCATTTTTCATCATAAGTCCTTCAGAAGTGTCTTGGATCATTGTATTGCTGAGGATAGCTAAGTCATTCACAATTGATCATCATACAATACTATTGCTGTTATTGTGTACAATGTTCGTCTGGTTCTGCTCACTTCACTTTGCATTAGTTCATGGAAGTCCTTCCAGGTTTTTCTGAAGCATCCTGCTCATCATTTCTTACAGCACAATAGTATTCCATCACAATAATATGCAACACCTTGTCCAGCCATTCCCCAATTGATGGACATCCCCCTCAATTTCCAATTCTTTGCCACCACTAAAAGAGCTGCTATAAATATTTTTGTACATATAGGCCCTTTTCTTTTTCTTTTTCTGCTCCTTTTTTAATCTCTTTGGGATACAAACCTAGTCGTGGTATTGCTTGGTCAAAGGGTATGGATGGTTTTATAGCCCTTTTGGCATAGTTCCAAATTGCCCTACAAAATGGTTGAATCAGTATACAACTTCACCAACAGTGCATGACTATCTCAGTTTTCCCACATCCCTTCCAACATTTGTCATTTTCCTTTTCTATAATATTAACCAATCTATTAGGTGTGGGGTGGTAGCTCAGACTTGTTTTAATTTGCATTTCTCTAATCAGTAGTGATTCAGAGCATTTTTTCATATGACTCTAAATAGCTTTGACTGCTTCATCTGAAAACTGTTCATATCCTTTGACCTTTTATCAACTGAGGAATGGCTCTTATTTCTATAAATTTGACTCTGTTCTCTATATATTTGAGAAATGAGGTCTTTATCAGAGAAACTTGCGGTAAATTTTTTTCAAAGTTATGATTACTATATTCCCTTCTATCCTATTTTCCCTCTGTTTATCCTTCTCTCTCCTTTCACCCTGTCCATTCTCAGAAGTGTTTTGCTTCTGACTTTTACCTCCCCCAAGCTGCTCTCCCTTCTATCAGCACCCCTTTTCTTTTGTTCCCTTCTCCTCCCACTTTTCTGTATGGTAAGATAGATTTCTATATCCAACTTGTTGTGTTTGTTATTCCCTCTTTGAGCCAATTCCAATGAGAGTAAGGTTCAAGCACTCCCCACCCCTGCCCCACCTTCCCCTCTGTTGTAAAAACTTTCTTGCCTCTTTTATGCCAGTAATTTACCCCATTCTATTTCTCCCTTTCCCCTTCCCCTGATACATTCCTCCTTCTCACCCCATAATTTTATTTTTTTAGGTAACCATCTCATTATGTTCAACTCAAATCTGTGGCTTCTGTCTATGTA